ATGTTTCTCTCCCTCTTTCTCCCTTTCCCTCTCTCTAAAAATAAATAAATAAAATCTTTAAAGAAAACCACATTAAAATACTTAAAAAAAAAAAAAGACCCAGTTAGAAACGAAGGATACACTAAATGAAATTAGGAACAATTTACAGAGAAACTACAGAAAAGTGAATGAAGCCGAGAACCAAGTCAAGATTTGGAACACAAGGAAGAAAAAAACAACCAGTTAGAAAAACAAGAAGAAAAAAGAATCCAAAAAACCAAGGATAGTGAAAGCAGCTTGGCTTCACCTGGGAATCTCTAAGTCCAACACCAGTAGCAACCATATGCAGACTGCTTTATCGATAAGGCAGGGTGGCCCTGGGCAAAACATGGGGGTGGGAGGGGAGGGTGTCTTGAGGGACAGCCTCAAGAGGTGTGAGTGGGGAACTTACCAAGTAAAAGGCAGAGACTACTGACTAGCCCATTTCACCACGTGCAAAAAGGAAAAGTGGAGAAGGTGAGAGCAGGGAGAAAAAAAGATACAGGTGTAGGGAACTAATGGGGGCAGAATGAACAAAGGACCTATCTGTAAAAGAAGTGTCCTTCAATGGTAAGAATTGCGGACAGATTCATTTATTAAATGTTCACTGAGTGCCTACTAGGCAGTAGAATAATTCAGTGAGCCAAGAGACAAAACTCTCTGCCCTCATGGAGTTTATATTCCCGTATATGTGTGTCTGGCGGTGGGTGGGAAGGTAGAGAGGCAATAAACAACACACATGATAAGTAACTGTATGGCACATGAAGAACTACATATAAGCACACAGACTTCTCACCTTCTTCATCATTAATGTTTCTAAGCATCCTTCTACAGGCAAGGGACTTCATATTGTGGGAGGGGAAATCCTGATTTAACATTATTAGGTGGGCTGATCTGACATTTTTATGGAGGTTTAACAAATAGCAAAATATCAATAAAAATAACAATATTTATCAAGGAAAAACTGTCCAGGTTCAGATGAGGAATAAAAAGAGAACCAGAAGAGACAGGTCTACTCTTAGATTACAGAAAAATCTGTGTGTGGCGCCTCCTTTTTTTTCCCGAAACAGTTACAATGTTTATATTACTCATTAATATTGCTTATCCAAGGAATGAGAAATGTTTGTAGCCCTGAGCTCCAGCTGGATGTACATCAAGTGACATGCCTTGAGAAAGCACATCTCTCTGATAAAATGGAACAAAGAGAGCAAACATATCCCACGTTCTCAGTTTTAGTTGAAGGAACTCAGATTCTTCCCTTTCAGAAACATAAATGGATTTTAACTTTGTTTTTTTTTTTTTTTCTTCCACATAGAAACAGAGAATGAGCTTTAACTTTATAGAGTTTAAGTTTGAATTCCTGGGCCTTAGGCACATATTTTATTTTTTCTAACTAATCAGTTCCCCCATCTGTGAAATAGGGAAAATAACCACTTCACAGGACTGATCTGAGAAAACCAATGCCAACTGCCTGGTGTAGGCCCTGATAAATAGCAGGCGTCAAATAATCTAGTTTTCTTAACCATATAAATAATGTACAGTTAAGAAGACAATTCAAAAGACTGGAAAAAACACTGGACTTGAAGCCAAAAGACTAGGGTTCAAATTCCAGCTGTTATTTACCCTTAATTACCTATTACTTATTAACCTCTGGAAGTATGATAATTACAAAATGGGAGTAATAATTTCTCTATCCCGGGATTATTGATTAATTCAGATGACATACACTAGGTGCTTTAAAGTGTGAAGTACTACACATATATTAAAAAAGCATTATTGTAACTTTTAAAAAAATCTGAGAATATTTTAAAAATACACTGTTTTCCTAAAGATTTTTATTTATTTATTTTTAGAAAGAGGGGAAAGGAGAGATAAAGAGAGGGAGAGAAACATCAATGTGTGGTTGCCTCTCACACCACCCCTACTGGGGACCTGGCCCACAACCCTGGCATGTGCCCTTACTGGGAATTGAACTGGTGACCCTTTGGTTCTCAGGCCAGTGCTCAATTCACTGAGCCACACCGGTCAGCAAAAAAATACACTATTTTTTATTATTCTGCAATGAAAGGTCTGTTAAGTTGCATACTCTATCGCTAGGGTACTTTTGGCATAATAAATTTTATTATAATTTCTAGAAGAGTCCTACCTAAAGCAGGATGCATTAAGTTTCTGGTTTCCTACAGAAGTTGCTGTTATTAAGGGAATTAAAGAAATCTGTTGTTACTTTCAAAGGCCTCCAAAAGCTAAATGAGATAGATTCTTTTTTCCCCCAGCAAGAACGAAAAAGATTGCAGAAAATATTATCTTCAGATACAATGTAAAATAATCTATTACTCACTAAAATATTGTATTATTTGAAAAATTCTGATATGGTATTTAAATCTCTACCAAAGAAACTAGCATTCCAATAATAAAGAACTAATATTCACTTAAAAACATACTTCAGTGGGAAAAAAAAACATATTCCTTGAAGGGAGAAAAGCATATCCCTGAAATGCCAAATGACTGTCATGAAAGGAGAGTGCAGGACACGTTCAATGAACTCATCTCACGTGTCACAGGCTAGTGTTAGAAACCAGGTGGGTAGAAGCAGCTGAAAATTTTCTCTCAGTCTTCTCTTCTAAGAACTAGAGGTAAAAAGAAGTTAAGAAGAAACCTGGGAGATAGGCCTGTTTTTAGTTATTAAGGGACCACACCAGGGCACAGACATAACTCACTATTCTCGCCTTTCCTTGGGTAAACGCCTCTCTTTGCTGCAAACCTCATTGATTAAGAAATTCTTTCCAGGTTAATTTTATTTTATTCTGGTGACATTTGCCCTTAGAAGGAAACAATTCATATCACAGTCCTAGAAGCATATATCCATTTCCCCTCATTTAAGTTTTCTTTTTTAGTCTCTTTTTTTCCTTTAGTCATATAGTATGTATCAAAGATTTTTGTTAAAAATGGCTTTGAAGACTAGCAGATTTTCACTTCTCTAACCACAACCCACATCTTTTGGCCTCTTCAGAGATTCCTTTCTTCCCCATTCTCTCTGACACTGACATCTGTCTGGTTTTCTGTAAAGGACACTGGTATCTCAAGAGGAAGTACTCTACACCCAGTGAGTGAAAGAAGAGGTGAAATGGTGAAAGGCAGTATTCTCTGAGCTCATGGTCAGTGAAGGTGCATTTTTCTGGACTACATGTGTGAAAATGATGTACATTTGGTAAAAGTCCTGGATGAAGAGTTTTACAAGGCAAAAAGTAAAATAAAGAAAGAAAGAGACAAAGAATGAAGGTAGAAAAGAAGAAAAGGGAACAAGGAGAAAAATAATAAGAGAACACAGTTTTCTAAGGGAGCACAATTTTCCAATAGCGACAGGGAAACCTGCCCAAAACCCACTAACTTCTAAATGACATGGTTAAAAACCTAAGCAAGCCACCAACCAAAAGAGCCAGAACCGAAATTTTAACAATTCAGTTTGGAATGGGCAAGAAACCTATTTCAGTGCCTTCTAATGGTTCATTATCATTATGCAGGAGATAAGATAATACAAGTACCTGAATATGCATTTTAATTATTGCTTTTCCAATCAAGGTTGCACCAAAGAAAGTCCAAAAAGGTACAAGAAAGTGTCCACATGTTATTCCAGCCAGGTCAAATAGAGGATTTGGAATCTGCGAAACAAACAAACAAATAAATAAATAAATAGGTGGAACTTCCACATATAATCCAAAGAACAGTTTGATTTTACACCTATAAGTAAATCCTTACTCATACTACAAAGAGAGGTATGGTTCCTTGATCAGTACTAGGTTGTTCAGAAGTTTAGATAAGTATTATGTGTCTACAAATTTGGTCTCACATTCATCTCGGGCTGTTGTTCAATCTGTTCAAAGCAAACCAGCTGTCCTTTTGCTTGCAATACTTTGGTTAATGTACCATAATACATTTTTTTCTATCCAATTCATACTAGAATTGAATAAAGCTAATGGATCAAAAAAAGTTAATACTATTCAGTGGAAACTTAGCTATTTGGTAGCTATTTTCTGTTTTTAAAGATTTTATTTATTCATTTTTAGAGAGTGGGGAAGAGAAGGAGAAAGAGAGGGAAAAAAATATCAATGTGTGGTTGCCTCTTGCACGCCCCATACTGGGAGCCTGGCCTGCAACCCAGGCGTGTGTCCTGACTGGGAATTGAACTGGCAACCCTTTGGTTCACAGCCTACGTCCAATCCACTGAGCTACACCAGTCAGGGCTTGGTAGCTATTTTCTAAGGTAAGGTATAAATGAGAAAAAGTCTTAAGATTATTTCAGAAGTTACTAGGGTTCAAAAATCTTTAGCCTGAAATAGAATATTATCTATACAATACAAACATTCTTGTAAGTTCATAAATACATTTATGGGTGGATGTGTTTTCACTTCTCAACATAAAAAAATTCATTATTTGTATTTTATTTTATGAGCGCCCAAGGCTGTGGGGCTGTATGGTACATTTTAGAAAGTAAATAAAGTGTGGAAATACAAGAGCACTGATTCAGATGTTTTGAATATTCAGTCCCAGACAAAGAGTGACTCACAACAAATACCTTTTCCAAACATTTCCATATTTCAAGACTGTTCAAAGACAACGTCATATAAAAATGCAAAGAAACCACAAGCTGTTTTTTAGTGCTTCATCCATTTCCCCCATCGAAGTACTCTGTCCTTGTGGCTGATGACCAAGCCATTTATCAGTCAATTAATTTATATAATTTCATTTTTGAACTTTCAAAGAAAAGCTTAGTTATTTAAAAATTATTTGTCACATACATCTTTTTAAAAACAGGGCCATACTAAAGTAGAACTCGAGTATTCTTTTATTAGTAACACTTGGATTCAATAACTCAATTTTGTTTTTCCCATCTAAATTCAAAGGCTTTATGCAATTTCATCTGTCTTACAACCATGTAATAACAGTATCATTTCACAGCCTTACAACCGTCATTTCTTACATATTTTCATGTGACCCTTACGACTCTGCAAATTACAATTTTTATCAGGCTCCACCTCACACAAGAGTGTGAACACCCAATCATCACACTTATGAACTACAAAAGGATCCACATATATAATCTTAATCTTCACAGCAGCCTCTGTACTGCATGTCTTATCTCTTCATTTTGAAAATTAAAAACCTGCTCAGAGTAAGCAGACTAAGGTGACATAGCTAGTTAAGAGTCAAAACTGGCTGAAGAACCTAAACCTGACTCCAGAGCCAATTCTTTCCACTATAGCGCACTACAACACACCTACAACTGCTCGAATAGTTAAAATCAAAGTTGTGATAAAGGCACATGTGTATTTTAGAATACCTCTAGGATGTTGATATCAGGTAAGAAGTTTTGACACCCAATGATCTCCTTTTTGGCCATTTGCTTTTTGCTAAGGAGTGGGAAGGGGGTATTCAAAGATATATTAATGTTCTAGTGTGAAATGGAGAAAACAGCTGCATTAGTAGACAATAATTTTGAGAGTTTTACATATAATGGCAGCTTTTATCATATGAACTAGGTACACCTAGTTATTCTGGCCAAATCCACCAGTGAAGTACCCACAATTGTGTACAGGCAACCAAAGAATACTTCGATCAAAATGCTTCATTTTAAATGTAATTGTTTCTATTATATTAGAAAATGACCAGGATAAACACTAACTCATCAAAGAATGTCAATTTCACACATCTGCAATTTCAGACATTAACTAAACTAAAATTTGCTTTCAACTACAGTTTATATTCAACATTATTTTGTATTAGCTTCAGGTGTACACTATAGTGAAAACATTAAGTTTTTACATACAGGGCTTCTTAGTTCACTCTAACCCACAGGTGGAGAACACAAGGCCCACAGGGCAAATCCAGCCCTCCACCTTGTTTTATCCGGGCCAGCACCACGTTTCTACCCAGAGACAGCGCCAAGCTCCTTCCCCTAGTTAAGGAGTGGTTAGTTACATTTACACAGTCCTAAAATTACATTCAGCCCTTTGAAGGCAACTGCAATGCCAATGTGGCCCCAGTGAAAATGAGTTTTGACACCCCTGCAAGATGCCCTTAACTTTGACACTGATGTTCCAATTACCTAACTAAGGTGTTAATGTCACTTAAGATGGGTATTATGCAAATTCTTCTTTGTAACCAATGCTTGAAACTTTGGAAGAAGAAGACTACTTATCTATAACTCTGGAAAGAATGAAGTCATTGTTATCTGATTAAATGTACTTCATTATAAATTCTTCACGCGAAGGATGGATTTTTTCTCTTTTGTTGTTATTGTGAATCAAGCCATTTAAAGCCTCAAGTCAACATGGCATGATGAAATACTTAAAAGTTTAATAAATGAAATATGAACTTGTCCAACAGGAAACAGCTCATTCGATGAGTAAGATGAATGAATAATAAAATAATATATCCATTAAAATTGATAGCACTGTTGTTCATTCAGGCATATACCTTTAAAAACTAAAATTATATCAAAATATAAATCTACCATTCATTGGAATTTCTCACTTTTAATACAATTTACTTACTGAAGCACAGGCCAAAATTCCAAAGAATCCAACCTTCTGTACTAGGTTCTGAACTGCCAGTTTAGCCCGGGAGGCAAAGTCCTATATAAAAGAAGGATATCAAAACATTAATGAAAGGTATAAGGAAGAAGAAAATAAATATAAGTATATATTTATTTATATAGATTCTATTGTTTATAGAATTTATAATAGTCTATATTATAGAAAATTTTATAATATTCTATATTATAGAAAATTTGTAATATTCTATAAATTTTCTAGAAAATATAAATTCTACTGTTTATAGAATTTATAATATTAAACATCTCACAACCTAAAAGTACTGATTTGTTTAATGAATAAGATGAATTATTTTAAAAAATTACAGGTTGCTCTGGAAAACATGCAAATAAAATCCTGACAGAACATTAATTATATTCTTAATGATAAACCTGTACCAGATTTCAAAAATAAGCCCAGACACTGTTAGGGTACTTCATTTTGGGGGATCTCCTCCAGATTATCTAGGGATGAACAAAATGCTACAAGCTAACCATGAACCAACTCATTCTTTTGGAAATACTGGCCTACCACATCTTCCCTTCTACAACTCACCAGACATACTCCCTGATTAATATCAGGGGGGTAAGAAATCATAGGATTTCTCAAGACAGCTGATGAGGACACCTGTGCTGATCACTAGTCAGAAGATGGAAAAAAGTTATGTGGTAATAGCTAAGCATTCATTATACTCAAAAGCAAAATAACACCCTATATTCGCACAGCTTGTGCTAGTTTTTAGAAAGTGTTTTCATAAATATTTTACTCAAGGCTTTAAATAATCCTAGGGTATAGCTAGAGCAGATTCTTCAGACTCTGAAATTAGTGCTCTTTTTATTTCTCTGTTGCCACTTCTGATGCTGAAAAATGCATTTGACTGGCTAGCTTATTTCCACAATTTTCTTCTTTCAGCATGTTGATGCTATAATTATATGTATATGTATCTATTTTTCCTAAAAATACCAATCTGAAATTTGACAATTCTTTTATTTTGAAATGGCATATACTTCAATCAAAATGAAAAAATACTAGCTACTGTGTAAATGTCTTTTAAAAAAGTGTTCACATCATAGAATCTCTTTCTTTCTCTTTAGTTCAGTACTCTAACAGGCAACAATCCTACAGAAAGGTTAGGATGTTAAAAAAAAAAAAAAAGAGGTTCCTTCATAGAATAAGAACAGGATTGAAAGCACTTCTCTAAGCAACAATGGAAGTTGTGTATTCCTACCTAAAACAAACAAACAAAGCCTTTAACAAATAATATGCAGAATAACTCTGTAAGTTACCACATTACAAGTATTAAACATTTTAAAATACCTTCTGCCTACTTAACTTGTTGAAGGTGGTGAAAAAGTCAAAGGAATTAAACCAATAAGGTTTTTTATACGTATTTTAAAAGCTATAAATAGTCAATGTAAACACTTTGAAGTTTAAGTATATAGGCTCTCAGAGTTAATTATTAACTAAATTCTACAATGTAATTTTACAATTCATTTCCAAAGAGAGATTTTTTCTTTGGGGAATTAGCCTCATTTTTTTCAGTAAGTCATTGTGTCAGATTTAATACCGTTAAAACATCTGAACTACTACTGTAGTAAAGGCCACTTTTCATTTCATTCAGATTTCTAGCTGACAATTTAATGTTTCTTCTTAAGTTAACAACTATGCATTAAGGGTGAAATGTTGACTTTAAAACTGTTTAAGAATATATAATAAAATTCAGTTTTCCAAAATAACATAAAAACAAATTACACTCCTATTTATTTTGAATAATTTACACAATCCAAATTACTAAATTTGTACTTAATTTGAAGCACTAAATAAAAATTGGTAAGCCATAATGAAAAGATGCTTTGAGATTTTAAAATGTCAAACAATATATTTAGATTATGAACTAGTTTTAAAATTTTCATTAATATAGCCTAAGATTTAAAGATATAAATTCAGGAAAATGTCTTCTTTTTTTAAAAAAATATTGTTCAGGTAGAGTTGTTTCCACTACCCCCTCCCCACCTCCCACCCTCGAAAAATGCCCTTTTATAGTTTTAGTATCCTCAGAGCAAATCCACTCTAATAAGAAACAACACAGTACTCAACTGTTAAAAAATTAAAAATAAGAAAAAAACTATACAAATTTTATTTTAAAAACAACATTCTTTTTATAAATGTATTTTCTAAGTCAGACATATGTGGAAGCATTTTCTATCACAGGATTTATGTACTCCTCAATATATAAAATTGTAGAATATTAGATTGTTACAAAAAGTAGTATAAACAAAATCAAAAGTATTTAGAAGGTTTGGTGTTCTTTTTTGTAATATTTCAATTACAGTTGACATACAATATTATGGGTGTTCTGTTCCTTTTTATCTTAATTTCATTTCAAGGCTTTAGAATCTTGTATTTATTTAAACCAGGTGACTATGTTAGTGACATTTTAAACTGATGGTATTTTTCTACTAGAGATAGACATGTGTACAAACTTAAATTGGAAAATAGTATAATTATGCCAATGAGTTTATACAAAAAATTTAAATTAAACATTATGCAGATCACCTAATATTCAAAATAATAAAAATGTTTAAGCCTATGAAGGTTCAAGGAATCATGTTCTTAAAAACACCCTGAAAGTAAGGAGACATTTTATGCCTTTGGGGCAGAATCTCTTTACTCAATAGAAATCAAACAAGAACAAAGAAAAATAGACTCCTTGTTCTTTCCAGTGCCTGGGTGCTCATCATTAATTATTCTTAACAGGTGTTCAAGAATTTTTTTTGAGGAAAAAGAGTTACTCTCTCCAAGTAAGTAAAAAAATCTTTCTTAACCTTATTTTTTAAATTATGTTTTAGCCGACATACATTACAAGGAAAACAAGTTAAGTGCCTTTTAATGGGGAGTTTTTACTTTTTAAGAAGTCTGAAATTATGTACTGAAAATGGATTTCATAAATCTTATTATGTGTTTAACATGCACGCACACAGTGACCATGCTACTTTCAGTTCCTGTAATTCATTTTCCAGGTCTTTCACAATATTCTTAGAATTGAAAGTACATTTATACATTAAACCACCCATGAACATTTATTTAAATTAAACTAATATAAAGTCTGTACAATTGTTTCATTACAAGTCACCAACAGTAGCAGAATATGCAGCTCGAGGGAGTAATTTCTTGATGTTCTTTCCCTGTCAGTGTAATTAAACTCAGGGAATCACTGTGTTGGTATTTACACCAAACCTAAAATAATTTGCCATGGTAAAAGAACTCATGTTTAGATTTCATACACACAGTTACATTTTGTCTTTATTTTAAACTTATTTCACTTTAAAGTCATATATTCATAACTTACTGTTATGGCTTTAGAAGCTTTATCAATATAATTTTATTGAAACATTCTTCTTTTATTGTCTAAAATATTTTTCATGTTGTGGTACTTCCTTGCTTCTTGCCCTATAGTTTTAAAACTTCTTTGTTTTACTTTTTTGGTAAACAACAT